AGTGTTTGTGTGTTTCAGTGTGATGACAAATAACGAGTGCAAAAGAAAACGACAGCTAGATGTAGGCAAGAGAGGGATAGATAGCAGCATTAGCCATCCCCATTTCCCAAAACCTCTCATCTCATCCAACATCCCCGATGTTGTCTGAGCCGGAGTGAGTGCTGGGGTTACTGGAAGCATTTTGCCTTTCAATCCTCCAGAATTACCACTCAGCATATTACAGCTTCCTTTAGTCATTCAGATCGTTCCTTCAAAAACATTTAAGAAAAAAAAATCTAAATTATCATTGTGTTCTTTGCACAGATTTAAAAAAAATCTAACAGGTTTAGTGATCTGAGGCAAAGATTCAGGTATCACAGATCACACAATTATCAGTTAAGACCCAGGGCAGCTGTATTTGTTAATCGGGCGACGTTTAAGTCATTATAAAAGTGACAATGCAGCTTATAGGCAGTAGGCAAAATGTTGGACATAAGCTCTTAGTCATCCAACAGCCCCACCTTACACATACTGTATAGAGAGTATGTGAGCATCACTGCATTATCTGAAAGAAATAGCTACAACCTTTTGTTAACATATTGTAATTATACATTATAGAAGACTCAAAGACAGCCCAGGTTCAGATAGCCACCACACATAGGACTCAGGCTGAGCCACAAATTCAACAGGAGCACAGGACAAGAAGTCACATATTGTCAGACACCTGTCAATCTTGGTAAATTACAAGAGATATGCCGCAAGCATCTTTCCTTCCAACAAATGCCTGTTGAATGACGCGCACCCTCGCAAAGAAGAGCAGATAGCACACACGTTTATTTTGAATAACCTTTTTTTTTTGTTGTAAAATGATAAAAGACAGCTACCTGGATATCTACTGTTCTTTTTAAATAGGTATACAGTAGTTTATGAGGTGGTTTGCATTCTCTCCTGTTACCTTGATGATAACAGGTCATTTATCTGGATTCATTATCAATATTAGTAATATATTATTTTTGCAAAATAAGGCTGCGGCAGTTAATTTAAAATGTCCCAAAAGGTAATAATGTGACATTCCTGATATATTTCATTTCAAAGGTTTTCATTCCAAAACATTTTACAATGACTGATTAAGTTTCCACGTCAGCACCTTTACATTCATTTTCACTTATGTCGCATAACAGTTAAATCCATCCTCATTCTCATTAAGTGATGAGAAAGCTAAATCATCCGGTGTCTTTCCAAAGAGGCTTTAACTGTTCCCCGAAATCCGATTCCGTGTTCCAGGGGGGCTCTCTCCCTTATGGGCTGTCAATAACCCTCTACTGACCTTGTGAAAACACATTGACTATTCCCCAAAGTGATCCTGCCTGGCTGCAACACAACGCACGTTCGCTCCTGTCTCAGTTCATCCGAGCATAGGCAATATAAAAAGCCCCAAGGTGTTAATGGCTATTAGAAGATGTGTGCCATGCTTCAACACTATAAACAACACAATGTCTTTTCTAAACATTCAGTCCACGCTTAGATGGGGACGAATTGTGAGAATGTTTGATGAAGATGCATCAAGAGATGCGCAAACATTCATCGGCCTATTCACAAACATATTCATCTCATGGCGTGGTTTAGCATTATTCTTAGCTCATTTGTCAGTATTCCAGGTAGTCTAACTAAACAGAAGTAAGAAGGGGAATTGTGTGATCTGCGGGTGGGTTTAGACATTACGACGGGGACAGAAGTGCCAGAGCATGGGGAGTCGGGAAAGCTCATCTGCAGCCACTGTCTTTACAGTGCTGAGATTTGCCCGAGAGCCACATTACCAAACTCAGCGTGGTAACACTGCAGCAAGCAGATGCACCACTCCTTAAAACCCATAGCGCAAAGGCACGTTGTGTGACCATACCTGGTTTTTATGCCGAGTCCCATCTTCGAGTTCAGAAGAGCTGTTCATGATTCCCCATCGGCCATTTACCATCCTACAGAGAATCTGCGCATCAGATCCGCCTGTTTGGTCCGGGCGAAAGAGAACAAACCTGCACTTTTTAAGTCTTTACCTGTGATTTAGCCTATTCCATGAAAAATAGGGTACTCAATGGGGGAAAAAAGATGGGCGGCGCACAACTACTTCTGCGGGTCAGCAATGCACAAATTACGCACCAAAATGAAACTTTAATTCCTCTCGAGAGTCTCCTGATTATCTGGCCGTTATTCCAATTAAAAGAGTAGAAGAGAGTGTTTACAGGCTCCAGTGGTTGTAACTTGACTCAAAAACGCAACACAATTACACCGAACCTAAAATATAAACCTAAAATGATGCACTGGACGCAGTCCTTTTACTCCATAAAATGAAAACGACAAAATCTTATTTGGCTCAGATTGCAAAGTGCAACCTGACCTTTTGTCCATCCACTGCCGTTTCCCGGATACTTTGAGACGTCCAATTTGCCCAAACTGTGTCCACTTATGACTGAACAAGGAAAGACAGGACGGGATACGGCTGCGGAGCTGCCGCGTCCTTTTTCTCGTTTATTCGGTGAGGAATAAGACTCCCGTACCGAGTCCAGAGGGTGGATAGTCTCTTTTGCGCCAAGTTGATCTGGCTGGTATTTCACGGAGATGCCTCTGACAAGACTGGCACTAGGAGATTAGCGTGCTTCACTTGTGTACCGCACGGGGCGCTCAGTGCCTCCGACTGTCAATCAACACGTCCCTACGGTGAGCAGGGCGCAGTCGAAGGCAGCGTTCCTTCCCCGTGCCGCCCTGCCTTCGACTGCTGTGCATCAGCCACCCCACCAGCTACTTTGCCTCCACTGCACTGTGGACCCTCCTATTCCACTGCAACCCAACACTGCAAGAAACTGTGGCAAATGTAGACTACAGACTGGGAGTTCATGTAACATAATCTCGTTCCAATTGCTGATAAAATTTTCCTGTAGAACAAAAAGGCTTTCTTTGCAAATTTATTAAGTCTGCCTTATAAAAACTGTCACGCCACAGTGTGCATTTTACTATACCTGGATACCTTACTAGGATTAGTAATAAATTAAGTTTGAATGACGGTGTGATATCACCTACATGTAGCACTTCTAATTTGAGTGAGTCTTTAGAAGCAGGGCTGCTTGTTTGGGAGTTTAAAGCAGAGCAACCTCAGTAGAAAAAAGATGAAACGGAATATTAACATGTAGCAACTGCCTCTTTTTTCACAGAAATCTGATTTAACACCACCATAATCCCTTACAACAGTGGCACAAGTTTATCTGAGGTGAGCCCTGAGATCACTGGATATTGTCTGGGTATGCAAAACACAATGTCAAGACCTAATGTAAAAGGACCAGGCAGGATATATAGTAAACATTAACTCAATAAAGTTGCATCTAAGCACAGCAGCACAGGACACTTATAAACTAACACAGAAAATAATGAAGAATAATGACTAACGATGGAGGAAATGCACCAGACTGTGAATTCTTTTTTTAGACACTGACTCAAGACATAAATTAACCAACAGGTTCCTACAGAAATCAATTCCCACCAGACTGAAATGATTAGAGGTCTCATCAATGGTGAATGGACCAAAGCATAAGTGTGATTATTCATTCCTGTGGTGAACCTACATTTACACTTGAGGACGGATTTGGGGTGAGAGGAATAATGCAAATAGGGTCACTGCTGCACAGTGTGCGTTGTCAGCAAGTCTGACATCCACACAGTTACTATTGTGAAATAGTTTGTCATATATGACAGCCAGACTGGGAACAAAAATAACAAACAGTATGTTATGACATGTAGCTTTAAAGTTGAATATTCTGTGCTTTCATGTCTTTTTAAATAAATGGTCTTAGTTAAGAAGTGAAATGAGCACACAGGATCCTGTTGAAGAGCAGGAGTGTGTTCATAATGCTAAATATCCATGACTAAATATGCAACGATAAAAGTTAAAGCTTCGATAGAAAGCATTCCTAACTGTGATTTTTTTAAACTCTTTGTTGTTAACTTAGCTAAGCTGCCTTCACACCTGTGGATGTTGTGGGCCTGGTTTAATTATATGTGATCAACAGAGTAAATCCCAGTGACCTCAAGTGCATCCACATTTCCATCACTTGCGTCTTTTCTCTGCTTTAGTGCCTCCAACGTAAGATGCAAAGAAAAGATGCAAGGAGAACATACAAGTAGAGGAACTGAGGAATCAAGGAAACACATTTTAGAATCATTTCCCCTGATCCTTCATCTGACGTGTCCAGTCACCGGCTGATTTTAGTGTGTTGGTTCATAAAAGACTTCCACAAAGAATGTTCTTGTTTATCCAAAATCACGGCTCCTCCAGGCAGCCTCCTTGCTCCTCATAGCAGGAATAAGAGCTTTGGGACACCCTTTAAGATGGCAGACCAGAACAACTTCTGAGTCGAGCAAGGATTGCAGATCGAGGGGCAAGAAACGATCAAATAAGACAACTGGGATTTGCCAGTCCAATTCAGTATCTGTCAACATATTTTATATTCAGGTGTTGTTAAATCCTGTTTGGTGCATGGAGGTATATGACATCAACTTTTCCCAACAGAGTCCTGCTCACTTTAATCCAGTAGAAGGACCACAAACAAAAATAGAAATACAGGAATCTCTCATGTGAAACAATCTGAAGTGTTCCAACTTTGGCAGAAAATTTTGTTTTCATATAGGCCTTACATCAAAATTGACTAAATAGGGTCTTTAAGATGCGGTTTAATAGTAGTCACTGATCTGTGCTAGGCTTCCCATTAGCAAATGATAAAACCTCACAACACTGACAGTTTTGTGAGAGCTATTCTAGTATATTTCAAAGGACTTCACACAGTTGTTTTGTTGTTTTTTTTTGGAAAATAATTACTGAAAGATCAGTGGCATGAATTCCTTCAATTTAAAGCATCACACGTCAATAAAATGAATCAATTTCATGAACTTAAGAGCATAAGAAGTCAATAAGGGTTACAATAAGAGCTGGAAAGAAAAAGAATGCCACTAGATTTTGATGTAACAGTTTATAAAGGGTTCAAAGCTCTAGTTAAACCTCTTTTTATTTATCTATGTTCCACTTTTTTTTGCTCAGTTTTTCCATTACACACATGTTTATAATCATACTTAAAATGCATATTATGTTTGTGTACAGTCGACTACATAAATAACTGTATAATAAATGTACAATTTACACAGTATATAACTACATTATATGTGGATGTGTGTCACAGTTTCAGTCCTGGTTCTGTCTCCACCCTGTGTCATTTTAGACCCAGCCCCTTGCGCTTGTCCTCTTTTTCTGTTCCTACTACCTGCTCTGGCCCTTTCCAGTCGCACTCACCTGCTTCCTATCTATGCAATCATCATTTCCTCCAGAGACATTTTAAGGAATATAAAAATACTTTATTAAGGAAAATATATAGTCTAACATTTTCCACAAAAAAGTTCAATAAACCTCTGAAAAGGCCCTGAAAACATGCCTGGTCTTTGCCCTTCATTGTGAATTCCAAGATTCATTAATATTCAAATATATGCAAATGAGCCCAGACATTGCCCGCTGCCCACCACCGTTGTTTCCCCCAGGTAAATATCAGGATACAATAGGGCAGGAAGGAATATTGGAGAGATTCAGCTCTACTCTGTATGTCTGAGCCTCATTCAGACCCAGGGATGAGGAGGAGATGAGGAGTCTCTTGTTCACCAAAATTGGCAGGTGGCTGGTAAATCAGTATCTCTATTTTCTCAGTTGATCCAAAACACGACATAGTAACAGAACTGGGAGAATAGGTTATTAGCAATATGCTGACTGTTACTACTCAGTTAGGCTACTACAAGGAGTCAAATGTCATAGTGCAACAACATATAAACTAACATATAAACAGTAAGTAAAGAAATAGTGGAAAGCAGCGGGGTCTGGTTTACATGCAGAAAAGGTGCAGTTGGTCATATTTGCTGCCAGCAGGTAACACTTTCTCTCCCAGTCGTGGTAGTTGAAAAGTTAGTTCTGGATGCTCTGAGACCAGAAGTTATAGATTTCTCACTGCACTCCAGAAACCTGCAAATATTTACATGGTGAGCCATGATTGTCTTTTGGGCTTGTGACATCATAAATTTTGTTTGCCCGTCCATGTCTGAACGTCAGATTTCAGGGGAGCAAGCAGACATCCGCCCCCGTCAGCAATGGAATGTGAAAACACCCTGCAAGTGACAAATCTGCACACACACCAGTCACTATAGTGGATGGCAGATATTTATGGGATATTTATTTATTTTTTAAGGTCTTTAAGGCAGCAGATAGCATTAATTCTCTGCCAGAAGTTGTCAAAAGAAGTGATCAATCAAAAAACTGTGGAAACTAATATTATACTTTCAAAATCAGAGAGGAAAATCATAGTGTGGAGAGCAATAAATCAGCAGTGGCAACAGTACAGGGAGTGTGCAATAAAAGGACTACATTTACATTAAGTCCAGACTAAAGTAGGCTTGATAATAGGTACAGGGTCAAACAGGAAAAAGCAATAAATAATAAGTAGATTGAGAACTGGTCCAACCCTAACAGCAGCTCTAACAGGATGCGCTTCATCACTGGAAAACATCCAACATGGTGCTATAACCAGTGTCAGAGAACAAACAACAGAGCACGTCTCAGCGCTTGCTTCCCTACAAAACTACAGAAGACAAGACTAGCTGAACCCAGTACTGTACGTAAAATAAGTATGGTGACAGCATTGAATGCAGAAAAGCTGTGCACAAGTATGTGGATTTATATTTGCATGTAAATACTTCATGCTCAGTATTTTAGCATTTTTTTAATGATTTTGTTGTTTTGCTTTCCTAATCAGTATAAACTGTGAAACTACTGAAATGACCAGTTCCAGTCATGTTTATTTATGTAAAACAAAGTAGAGTTCATAAACACTTTGAAATGAGTGGGCCGTATATCATATGTAAAAACACTTATTGGAACAAAAGGCTGTTAAAATAGTTCAGTTTAGACCCGAGGTCATGGCTCCTATTTGATGAAAAAAAAAAACAGCAGCATCTGCAGTTTGTCAGCAAAAGTTGTTCAGTTTGGCTTTTAACCTTCCAGGCTTTATGACAGAATTTTATAATATAGTGATTTCTTTCACAATGAATGAACCATGACTTTAATATCAAGGGAGAAAATGCAACAGTAGATTGTCAAATGAGCAAAGCACTGCGGTTCATGCCTTTGTCTGATAACGTGTGTACTTGCAGACATTTGTGTGTGTGTGTGTGTGTGTGCTCAGCTCTGGCTTCATCTATGAATGTCACTGACACCTGATCAGTCAGAGACATTCAGAGGAAAAAGAGAAGTCTCTCAGGAAGAGTTGTTCAGCTGCCAAACAATACTGATCTTTATTGGCTTTACTGTTTTATGTGCCCTGATATCCAAACAAGCATGTGTGTTTGTGAAATGTTTTGCACTTGATTCAGCCTGACCCGAACCCCCCCACCCCTCGGCAGTTTTTTTTTTTTTTTTTTTTTAAATTGTCATGCATGAAGTGGCAGCAGGACAAATGCACATTACTGTGAAGAACCCACAGAGTGAACTGCCATTCCCAAAATGCCAAGCCTATAATTTGCAAAATGCTGGAATAAAAAAATAAATTACAGACAGAAAAAATAATCAAGAAAAAATATGTTTGAGGGAAGGATGGTGAAGAATATGAGTTGAGTGCATTATGGGTTAATGAAGAACAACACAGACTGGGATTGTGTTTGATAAGGGATAATATACTGAAAGGTTTACTAAGC